CGGCACAGGCCCGGTGCAGGCCCCGCCGCGCGGCCGCAAACGGTGCGGGGGACCAGGGGCTCCCTCCGCACAACCCGATCAGATAATTCACACAGAGAACAGGCCGCAGGCAGCGTTTCGGCAGCAAAGTGCTCAGTAAAAACTATATTGCCAGGGAACGGTACGAGGGAGGGGCACGGGCGCGCTGGGCGAGGGCTCAGAGGAAGTACGGCGTGGTCGTCCGGGGCGGGATTACGCGCTCTGAGTCTGGCACTGCCCGGAACAGCTTTGGTTCTCTCGTGTTTACATCTTTGAAGACCATGATCGACGCGATATTTCCACAGCGGTAGCAGTAATTTGGAGCAGACCATACCGTCACCAGTTTCTCATCAAACATGAACTTGTAGCCTTCGTGCACGAGCTGATGTGCTCTGCAGATGAGTTTTAAGTTGTTGATATGAACAAACTGTAAGTTGAAGGAGAAAATAAAGCAGCATGTAAATATTGGCTGTGCAGAGCTGCAGGTCGCACCCGCAGGCCGCCTCCCGGTCCCGCGGCGCCGCCCTCCCACGAGCTCTGCTGCCCCTGGACGGCCCCGGGGCTGACGGTGCGGCGCGCGGACCGGCCTCTCACCACCCGCCCGTCCTGTCACCCAGGTGGCCGCGTCTGCGCCCTGCCCACAGCACAGACTGAACACCAAGGACGGCACCCGCCMCGCGGCCAGCTTCCCCAATGCTGCTAGCTCACAGCATCATCAACAGGTCCTCAGCTGGAGAGGTCTGCTTCTCCAGGAAAAATGGAACTGTCTTTTTCCCCCCTTCCCCTCCTAAATCTTCAGGGATGTATGTCTGCACAAAACCTGGTAAAATTGTTGAGGGGGTTGAGGTTGAGGGGATCTTTAAAGGGTTGAGGTTGGAAGGGATCTTTACAGATCTTGTTGTACTTACGCTTCTGAAAAGCAACATCAGTATCATCTCACCTGGCAGATTTTTTGTTTTTTTGAACATTCAAACAGCTCATTTTTCAAGTTGGTTCCTACTAGCACCAATAAAGCAAGAGACCTTCCTCACAACCGCACTGCGCTGCGCGACAGGCCACTCATCTCCGTTCAGCTCCAGGGCAAACACTGACCTTGCAGCCGAGCACCTTAATTTACCTCGTTAGGCAGAGCCGCTCGCGAAGCACCGTTACCTCATTGGTCACCTTGGCCCCGAAGAGCCAGCCCGCTCCTCGGGGACTGATGGCCCACGTGTCCACATCTTCTGGATCGGACCACACAAGGTCACAAAAGGCGCCTTTGTGGGGGATTTCTTGATTACGCTCAATGGTTCGAATCTGATCGAGTGTCTTGATGTCTGGAGAGAGGCCACCGTGCACACACAGAATCTGCTCATCTATTAACTGCAGGAAAAAGAGACGGGTGTCAAACTCCCAGCACTGTCACCCAGCTCAGGACACTGCCAGTGGGACCATTACAGGCCACTGATTCAAGAGGTCATGTTTAGACAATCTACTTATATTTTTTAAATGTAGTGTTCACCACTTACAGCTGCTATTGTGAGCATGTCGAAGACTTTGGTACAGTATCTCCAAGCATTAGCATTTCCGTATTTGGTTTGGCACTCATCTGTTAAACAGATTTTTTTTTTTTTACTTAATGGATCGTAAGAAATTCAGGTAACAGGAACAGAGGCAAATACTTATAGCAGAACTTGCAAAGCCAGGTGTGCAATAAGAAGCCCTCCCAGAAGCACCAGTAGGTGCTCAGCGAGAAGCCGTGTGTCTTACTGGGGGCCCGGCAGGGAGCACTCCCAAACACGTAACGTTTTCACTCGAGCCACGCAGAGGAAACGGGATCTCACGCAACGCGACTTAGCGCCGCCTCCCTGCGGCCCGGGAACCGGCCCTTGGCTCGACCAGCACCACGTCTGCACTACACAAGTTTACACTGAAGATTTAAGACAGACATAGCGAAACTGTTTAAAATTTTCCTAACTACAAGATTTACATTAGTTTCATTTAGCTAAAAAGCAAAATAAGACCCAATTATCTCTAAGCTTTGCAAAACCAGAAAGCTCAGAAAACATYTGGACAAGGACTTACCATAAAATCCATACACTTGTGTTATCTGCCTGCTTTCATGATTGCCTCGCAACAGCGTGATACGATCGGGCCACTTAGCTTTTAGTGCAAGAAGGTAAGTGAAAGTCTCAAGACTGTAGTAACCTCTATCGACAAAGTCGCCCTGCAAGTCGAAAAAGAGAATCACAGACGGAGAACGGGGCGTGTTAAAATGCAGAGCGAGCGCTGCCCTCCCCAGGGCCCGGTGCAGCCGGGAGCTGCGCGGGCCGGCCGTGGCGGCGCTGCCCGAGCGCCCGCGTCCCCCGCGCC